TGGTCTGTTTTCCCATAGCAGGGAAGGTCATTGTGTGTGTGTGTGTGTGTGTGTGTGTGTGTGTGTGTGTGTGTGTGTGTGTGTGTGTGTGTGCTTGTATCTGTTATCTATCATGTATACATAAACATGTAACTTTGAATCTAGCCTACAATCTATTAGCTGTATCTATATTATGATCTACCAATCCATCATGTATCTATCTACTTATCTATCATCTGTATATCTATCAATCTATTTATCTAGCAATCTATGTTTCTATCAATCTTGAGGTAGGGTGTCATGCTGTAGCCTAGCATAGCCTTGAACTCATTCTGTAGCCAAGACTTGCCTTAACTGTCAGCAATCTTCTTGCCTCAGCCCCCTGAATGCTGGGATGGTATACATGAACCAGCACATTTTGGTTTCTAACATTCTGTAGCATTTATGTAGAAAACGCTTCCACGGTCTCCTTGTGTCCTCAGCTACTAGGGTGCCTCAAGTTTTAGGGATATTTGGATGTCTTGTTCAGTTTTCAGTTCCCATACTGTCATCTGGCCTCTCTCCAGACACCATTTTCTGTTCACCACCACCCCCCATTTAAAAAGGTATTTTATTGGTTTATATGTGTATATACTATGGGAATATATATGGTGCCTATGCCTGTGTGAATATGGAGACCACCATCTGCCTATTTCTGTGAGGCAGAGTCTAGGCTGAAAGCCAGCATGTCCCAGCAATCCTTTTGTCTCCACCCACCTTAGGACTAACTGGGACCATAGGCATCCAATGGACACCCAGCTTGTCACATAGGTGCTGGTCCTGAACTCTAGTCCTAACGATTGCACACAAATCTTCTTAATCACTGAGCCATCTCTCCAGCCCTACTTCCATTTCTGAGAGCTTGTTTAGAGGTCCTAGCAAGGGGGTGCAAATACTCACATACCCTTGATCGAAGAATGGTTTTACTCTGTAAGAGAAAGCCATTCTCTTAGACTGAGTGCCCATTTCATGGGGGACGCGCATGGAGGGGTGAGGAGGAAGGAGCACCTGGCTAGCCAGCCAAGCCAGCCAGATCATCCAAATCAACCCTGGAAATCAGTAGGGTGAGAGATGTTACAGCTGGCTCCCCTTCACGTCCACCCTCACTATTTTAAAAAATTGTTATTTATTTTTGGTTTATATGTATGTATGCTTTGCCTGCATGAATGTATGTGTACCATGTGCATGCCCAGTGCTATGAAAGTCAAAATAGGGCATCAGACCCCCTAGAATTGAAATTATCAATGGTTGTGACCCACTATGTAGATGCTGAGAATAGAACCTGGGTCCTTTGCAAGAGCAGCCAGCGCTCTTAACCTCTGAGTCATCTTCCCATCCCCCACTTCCCTGTTTTTTTAAGACAAGGTGTCTCACTATGTAGTCCTCGATAACCTGGTACTCACTGTTGTAGACCAGGCTGTCCTTAGACTTGCAGTAATCCTCCTGTATCAGCCTCCGGAGTGCCGGGGATAAAGGCATATGCCCCCATGCCCAGCCTCTTCTGTCCCCTTGATCAATATTCCTCATGTAGGTGTTCCCCCAAGGGCTGCTGGTCTGGAAGCTCTCCTAGGGCAGGAACTACATAGTTGTGTCCAGCTGTGTATCCTGGTACCTGACACTTAATCAGTGCTCAATAAGTGTTTCTGCAAGCAAATGATTGATCTCAAGCCCAAGCAGTCAGGTCTGGCAGAATGGACTGAGAGCACAGGTACCTGAATGCCCCATTGATAACTTGCATCCATGACCCAGGGCTTCCTCTCATGGCATTGCCCCAGGTCCTTGGGAGAGGGGGCAGTGTGTAGGGAGAAGTATCCAGGAACCTCATGGCGACTCCTACTGTCATCTGAGCTCTAGGGAGACTTTTCAAGTGTGATCCTCAGCATCTTTGTGTGTGTGTGTGTGTGTGTGTGTGTGTGTGTGTGTGTGTGTGTGTGTGTGGCTATGTGTACACTTGATCCTCAGGACCAGTCCTCCTTGCTTTTTGAGACAGGGACTCTCACTACTCTGGAACTTGTCAAGTAGGCTAGGCTGGCTGACCAGCAAGTCCCAGGGTCTTCCTGTCTGTACCTTCCCACAATGAGAATACAGTATGTGCCACTATATCCGGCTTTCTCCATGGGTTCTGGAGGACTGAATTCAGGTCCTCACACTTGTGAGGCAGGCACTTCATCTGCTAAGCCATATTCCAGCCCTTTATTTTTTTTTTCAGTAGTTGGAATTGAGTTTAGGAGACAAGCATTCCGTCATTAAGTTAAGCACCCAGCACCTCACTAGGGGAGTCTAGGCAGGGGCTCTACCACTGAGCCACACCCCCAGCCCCTCATTGGGGGATTCTAGGCAGGGGCTCTACCACTAAGCCACACCCCAGCCCCTCACTGGGGATTCTAGGCAGGGGCTCCACCACTGACCACACCCCAGCCCCTCACTGAGGGATTCTAGGCAGGGGCTCTACCACTGAGCCACACCCCAGCCCCTCACTGGGGGATTCTAGGCAGGGGCTCTACCACTGAGCCACACCCCAGCCCCTCACTGGGGGATTCTAGGCAGGGGCTTTACTGCTAAGCTATATCCCCAGCTCTCCTTTCACATTTTATCTTCAGACACAGCCTCACTAAGTTGCTCAGGCTGATCTTGAGCTTTTGATCCTCTTTCTCAGCAAACCCCTGCAGTAGCTGGCATGACAGGCTTGCATCACCAGGACTGGTAATTGGTGTGTGACCAGAGTGTACGGACAGCCTGTGTCTGTGTGACACACTTGACACTTAGCAAGAGATGCAGCAGTCAGCACTGTCTACCGGAACTTTTAATAACTGACAGGAATGTCCTGTGTCAGCGCTGTCATCAGGAGCATCACGTGGCCACTGAGGAGCTGACACCTTACATTTAATTTTGATTAATGCTGATAAAAAAAAAAATAGTCACGTGCACCTAGCAGCTACCATACGGGACAGGGTAATGTAAACATTGTTTCGATTGGTCCTCTGGAGGTATTCCTGTAGTAAAGGAGATGGGATGTGTTAGTACATTCACTCTCTTAACTTAACACTTTGGCCTGAGGACATGGTGTGGGCTTTGTGCTACACCGTGTGTGTAGTACAACTTCTAAACTCTCTCACAGTCTCTTCAGGAAGGTTCCCCCGATAGACTTGGAAACTGAAGCACAAAAGGTTAAAGTCATAGGTTCAAGGTCACAGACAGGAAGCTGCCCGCCAGGACCCAGGCAGGGCTGTGAAAATTCGGAGGCTCCTCTGCCCACCCCACTGGGTGCCTGGTGCACCGTGGGCTCAGTAACAGTTCTGCTGAATGGATGGGTGGATGGAGTCACGGAAGGATGAATGAGGAAAGCGTGGGTGGGAACAAGAGCTCCCTGGGCTTTGAGGGGGTGTCGTGAGCATAAGTACAGACTGGATGGGGGTGGGAACTGCAGTGAATGGTCTCCATGCAGGGGCTGGGGCACCCTGTGACTGGATGGGGCACCGACTCTGTGCCTCATGAGCCCTTCTCCATCCCCCCATCCCTTCCTCCTGCCTCCTGCCAGTGATTACATCATCAAGGAGAAGACAGTCTTACTGCAGAAGAAGGACAGTGAGGGGTTCGGGTTCGTGCTACGGGGGGCCAAGGGTGAGTGCTGGCCGGGGAGGGGATGGGAGATCCTCTCTGACCCAAGAAGCAGGGCCTGGATAGGGAGGATGGAAAAAGAGAAGGGACCCCCTACACACACACCCTTAAGCCCACCCATTGCCCCACCCTGGGGTGCTGGTCCCTCAGCTCCAATGAGTCCTCTGTGACTTGGGTCTGAGCCCCATCCCCTGCTCGGCCTCTCCACCCCCTCCTCTCCGACCCCGCCGGCTCCTCCCCGTCTGCAGCGCAGACCCCCATCGAGGAATTCACCCCCACCCCGGCCTTCCCGGCGCTGCAGTACCTCGAGTCTGTGGACGAGGGTGGCGTGGCATGGCGGGCTGGACTACGAATGGGAGACTTCCTCATCGAGGTGAGCCCCAGACACACTGTGCTTCTGGGTCCCCGGGGACAAGCCCTAAGCCCACAAACTGTGCTGCTCTGGTCATCACATTGAGTCTGTGGAGTCATCCCGCCCAGAACTCTCCCTGGACTCTTGAAAGGTGCCCGTACTGTGTGGTGGCTCACACCTGTCATTCCATCTAGTCACCTGGGCTGCCTCATGAGTTCCAGGCCAGCCTGGGCCACAGAGTATAAACGTGCCTGAAAATAAAAATAAAAAAGTGTCACAGAATTGTCCCCAATATATGCAATACAGAGACATGAAGGGTGCAAGTCAGCCCATTCCTGGGGACATGGGAGTTATAGGGAGCCATGGGAGGGTCATAGGGATGAGAAAGGTTGGCGTAGGAGGTCACTCTGTCAGGGGCTCTGGAGCTGAAAGTCTACCCTTCCTTCGTGACGCAGGTGAATGGACAGAATGTAGTAAAGGTTGGCCACCGTCAGGTGGTCAACATGATCCGCCAGGGAGGCAACACACTGATGGTCAAGGTGGTGATGGTGACCAGACACCCAGACATGGACGAGGCCGTGCACAAGAAAGGTACTCCCTCACCGCTGTGGCCTTAGCTGTGATGGCAGAGAGCTGGCCTGGCACACACAGCCCTGGGCTCCAGCCCCAAAGCTGCAGGAAGAGGCATGCATCATGGTGCACACCTGCAATCCTAGCACTCGGGAGGTGGAGGCAGGAGGATCAGAAGTCCGAGGTCATCCTGGGCTACTTAGTGAGTTTGAGCTAGCCTAGGCTACATGAGACCTTGTATCAAAATAAAGGGGCTTCTCCAGCCACCAAATTAAGAGTCTTAAGGCCACTCCTCAACGCCCCCACAAGGCCCTCCTTCCCCTTCAAGGCCTGCCTGTTCATAACCTTTCTGGGGAGAAACTGAGGCAGAGAAGGCTCAGCGTGCTGGGGTGCTGTTCTCAGAGTTCTGGAAGCACAGTGAAAGGAATGGGTGTCAAGGGGTCTTCTCCCTGCAACACTGACACCTCCCACCCGTCCCCACCTTTCCAGCATCCCAGCAGGCTAAGCGGCTCCCGCCCCCAGCCATCTCCCTGCGTTCCAAGTCTATGACCTCAGAGCTGGAGGAAATGGGTGAGCCTGCGGGGCTGCCGGGGCCGAGGGCCAGGGGCGGCCAGGGGCCAGGGGCTGGACCACCCTTGACTTTGTCAGTGTTGTTAGTCACGAGGGGTCCTTGTCCTCCTCCTGTCCCGCCCCCCCTCCATGTCCTTGGGCCAGGTTCTATGGCCTGCCTGTGTGTCACTGGGGAGTTTTTCAGAGTCTCCCCTCTGCCCTCTTGTATCTCTGTTTCTCTGTCCCGGGTCTCTGGGGGTCTGTATGTGTCCCCCGCCATGGGTCACTCTCCTTTTGTCCCCTCCCCCTTCTACTGGCTCCCTCAACCAACAGAAGAAGGTTAGCAGCTCCTTGCAGGCAGAATCTCACGACCTGGGGCGGGTCTCGTTTCCCCCTGACCTGGGGCCAGTTGGGCAGATGACTGACTGTCCCACCACTCGGGTGCCTAGGGAGGTGGGCATTCCAAAGAGGGGCCCCTCACCTCCCCTTGATGTCCTAACTCTTGGCTCCTCTGCTGTCTACCCCTGGGCTAGTCTCCCCCTGGAAGAAGAAATTTGGTGAGTGGGCTCAGGTCTGGTGGGAGGGTCCCAGTCTCCCGACCCCACCGGCGGATTTACCCTTCCCCTGACCCCAGCCCCTCACTGCCCCCACCTCGCGCTGGCCACACCCGCTGGTCCACACCTGCCGGCCTGCCCTCTGCGGGGCGCCCTTGATCTTCATCCTTCTCCTTTGCCCACAGAATATGAACAACAGCCTGCGCCAGTGCCCAGCATGGAGAAAAAGCGGACTGTGTATCAGATGGCACTCAGTAAGATGTCACAGCATGGCTCCCCAAATCCCCCACCCTACAGCCTCTGGGGATGCCGCGTGCACTCCTTGCCTCTTCCTTCCTGTGAGCTCAGCACTGGGGCCCTGGAACCCCGGTTGCTTCACACCATCCTTGTACCACCCACTCTCCTGTGCTTTGTCATCAGCGGGCCCTGCCTGCTGGGCTGGGGGGTGTCCTCAGAGACAGAAACAGGACCCCGTGAGCTCTTTATCATACCCCAGGGCAGCCAGGGCTCTGCGGAGGGCCGAGGTAACTTTCCCTTTCACTGTCTCTTTGACTGTCTTTACTTCCCCACAGACAAACTGGATGAGATCTTGGCGGCTGCTCAGCAGACCATCAGTGCAAGTGAGGGTCCTGGGCCTGGTGGCCTCGCGTCCCTGGGCAAGCACCGGCCCAAAGGATTCTTTGCCACTGAGGTAGGTAACCTGGTGTAGAAGGAAACTGAGGGGATCATGTGCTATGTGAAGACTCCCAAATGTCTTTTACATCTAAGCTCGACGCTAGTCCAGAGAAGTACCACACTCTTCCTCCTCTCCCATCTCATCTCCCCTCTTTCCTTCCCACCTTAGGGATCTCATGTAAGACAAAGGGATGCTATAGAGATGTGGGTTTATGCCTATCATCCCAGATCCTGGGAAGCTGAGTCAGGAGGGTTACTGTGAGTTTGAGTTCAGGCTAAGCTACATAGGGAGACCTTTTCTCCAGACCCGGGCTGGGGGGGGGGCGGCGGGGGAGGGAGTCATAGTTATATATCCTAGATGCTCAACAGAGGTTTGATGGCTATTAAAATATTGATCCTGGGACTGGAGAGACGGCTCAGGGGTTAAGAGTGTTTACTGTTCTTGAAGAAGACTGACAATTGCCTACAACTCCAGCTCCAGAAGTTCTGATGCCCTCTTCTGTCCTCCTAGGGCACAGCACTGTCCACGTGCACGGTCCCACATACAGACACGTGGACACACACATGATTTTTTTTTTTTAAATAGAGTTGAAAGTAATCGAAGAAGACACCTAATGCCGACCTCTGGCCCCCACACACATTGTTCACACACTGTGAACAATGGATTGTGTGCCCTCTCCACCTGCCTTTCCCCACAGGCAAAGGCTGATCTCTATCAAGTTCAACATGTTTCAGATATTGTATTCCATACAGATTACCTCATTCCTGCCTTAGAATCTTCTTGTGAGGTATGCAGCAGTGGTTAGCTCACTTACAGATATGGAAATGAAACTCAGAAAAGACCCAAACCCTGCCTGGGCTCTTCTGCCAGGGCCCTGCTGACTCTGCCCCCATGGGTTTGGCCCTTTGACACCAACACACGCACATCAGACCTGTGTGTGCTAGTCTACACTCCAGCTGTCACTTCTGGAGGTAACCCACTGCCTGGCATCTCCCTTAGCCTGTGCCCTCTGCCTGCCAAGGCTCTGTCCTCGGGCCACACTCACAGCCTGGTGGCCCAGAGGCATTTGCTCTAAGGTGAGCCCAGGATCTGCCTGGCAGGGTGGCGTGGGCTTTCTTAGCTGTGCTCTGCATCTGGGTCTTAGATCAAGTGCGGAGTGATGCTTAGAGAGACAACCTGTGGTGTGGACACTAAAATAACTGTTCTGTGGGGGGGGGGGGGTTGAACGTACAGTCTCATGCATTTTACCACTGAGACATACCTCCAGCTCCTTCATTGGGGGATCCTAAAAAGGGGCTTTACCACTGGGTTATGCCCTCAGGCCCTCACTGAGGAGATTCCAGGCCAGCAGTTCTCAATGTGTGGGTTAGGACCCCTTTTACAGGGGTCACAAAGCAGACACCCTGCCTATCAGATATTTACAGTTCATACCAGTAGCAAAATTACAGTTATGAAGAAGCAATGAAATAATTTTAGGTTGGGGGTCCCCACAGCATTCAAGGGAGGCAGTGTTAAGAACGTTGAGAAGCTCTCTCACTCAGCCACACCCCATCCCCTCACTGGGGGATCCTAGGCAGTGACTCTGCTGAGCCACACCTCCAGCCCCTCACTGGGGGTGTTATGTAAGCGCTGTAAGTGTCTACACCTCCAACCTTCAAAATAATTTTTTGTTTTTTTGTTTTGTTTTGTTTTTCAAGACAGGGTTTATCTGTGTAGCTTTGGTGCCTATCCTGGAACTCACTCCGTAGACCAGGCTGGCCTTGAACTCACAGAGATCCGCCTGGCTCTGCCTCCCAAGTGCTGGGATCAAAAGCGTGTGCCACTACACCCAGCTCTTCAAAATAATTTTTAAGTGCATTTTGAAGTCAGAAGTAGTGACTCACACCTATAATCCAAGCGTTCCAGGGGCTGAGGCAGGAGGATTGCCATGAGTTTTAAGGACCAACCTAGGCTTCAGAGTGCGACTGATTCAGAAAGCCAAAGGGTAAAACAGATTTGTTTCTACAGCGATATCAGTAGACACACGTTTCTACAGCGATATCAGTAGATATCAGTAGGCTGGGCTGTGGTGCCTAAGTGCTGAAGCTGCGAAGTCTGCAGCAGCATCTCTACACTGTTTGTAGAGATGCTGCTGCGATGAGGGAGGGAGATCTCTGGGATCTCTTGGGAAGCAGGGGTGCAGCCGCCCATCTTGCTGAGACTAGCAGAGCTCACTGCCTGTAGCTGGAAGGGAGAAAGGGGCCGAGCTTTCCACAGGATGGTGTGAAGACAGGTGTGTCATTTATCCCTCAAGACCACACACCCCGACCCCAGAGAGCCCCTGCTTTTATGCAGAGGCAGGGAGCAGGTTTTGCAGCCAGATTCCTGGAGTTTCCAGTGTAGAGGCTACTTCTCTGGCTAGTAGAGTGTCCTGCAGGCCCCAGCCCTCCCTTCATGCCCATCCTTGGCTTCTTAGGATGTCTGAAATGTCTGCAATTGTTAGGGTGGGTTATCTGCTGTGCCATCCTTCCACACAAGTTCAGAGTAAGAAAAAAAAAAATGAGAGCTGGGGGTGCATCCTGTGGAAGAGCGCATACCTAGCAGGTGAAAGGCCCTGTGTTCAATCTGCAGCACCAATAAAGGGGGGAGGGGCAGAAAGGAAGCCGGGAGGCAGAAAGAGGAGGAAAAGAGAAGGAAAGGAATGAAGCATGGAGGAAAGGGAGGAGGGAGGCGGGAAGAGAGTGTGGGGTGAGAGAAATGGAGGGAGGATGGAGACAGGAGGCAGGCAGAGAGAGGAACCAAAAGGGCACAGGTCCTGCAGCCTGGCTGTGCATTCCTATCCTGGACATATCCTCTCCCTCTGTGGCTTTGAACCATGCTACCTCATCCCCAGCATTTGTTTCCTGCTCTGTAAAATTGGTTGAAGCCTGGCTGCACTCAGGAGGGTCAACTCCTGTCACGCAGGGCTCTCGACACCAGCAGTCTCCCTCTGCAGCTGGGTGTGATCACCCTCTGCTCTCACTCCCTGGAGCCTGACCCTTCACATCCGCTTCTGAGTTGCGTGGATCCCTGTCATCTGACAGCCTCAGCCCGCATCCAGCCCATCTCTTGCTTGTGTGTGTGCAAGTGTGTATGCGCATGTGCCTGTGGACACCAGAGGACAGCCTTCGGTGTCCATCCTCGGGTGCCAATCGTATTGTGTTTTGAGGTATCTCAAAAACAGGGTCTCTTGCTGCACCTGGAGGTCACCAATAGGCTAGACTGGCTTGTCAGCAAGCCCCAGAGGGCCACCTGCCTTCTCCACCCAGCATTATGATTACATACACGTGCCACCACACTAGGCTTTTCCTGTGGGGTCTGGGAATTGAACTCGGGTCCTTTCTTGGGCTTACATGGTAGGCACTTGACCAACTGAGCCATCCCCCAGCCTTAGCGCTTAAATTTTGATACTTCTGTTTCTTTCTTGTTAATCATGTAGCAGATGCTTGAACAAATTTAAAGACAGGAGCTCACAACCTCTTATTGCAGTTATTCTATATATGGACAGACTTCTAGAAAGTTCTTCCTTACATGGACCCCAAATTTACCTTCTCTGAACTTCTACCTTTTCATCATGGTCTTCTCCAACAAGGTTCCTTGGAGAGGAAGGATCATCTCAATTTTATAGAAGACAAATGGGTGTTAGGGAATTGAACTCACTTGCTCAGGACTCTTGGAAAATGTAGATCTAATCAAAATGGAGGTCTGCTGAGACTGGCCCCACTGTAAGCTAACCCAAGCAGGTGGGGTGTTTTTTTCCAAATAATTATTTTTTTAAGTGTGTGTTTGTAGGGGGGCAGTATATATTGGGCATGTGTATGTGGTGTAGGCATGTGGTGTGTAGCATGTGTATGTATGGTCTATGTGTATAGTATGGTGTATTTATGGTGAGTGTACATGGTATGTATATATGTGTATGATATATGTGGTATGTTTATGAGTATATGGTGTGTGTATAGTGTGTGTATGTGTGTATGGTGTGGGGTGTGTGGTATACAGTGTACGGTGTGGGGGGTATGGTGTGTGTGTGGTGTGTGTATGATGTGAGGGGTGAGGGTGGTATACATGTGGTGGTGGTGGGTAGGGTGTATGGATTGTGTTTATGTGTGTGTGGTGTGCAAGTGTGACACATTCCAAGACCAGAGCAGAGCAGATATCTTCCTCCATCACTCTCTGTCTTGTGCCTTTGAGACAGAGTCTCACTGAACCAGAAGCTCACAGGTTTGTCTAAATTGGCAATCTGTCAAGATCTAGGGATCCACCTTTCCCCTCACCACACATGCACCTCGATGCAGGTATTACAGGCCTGGGCAGCCAGGCCCAGATTTTTATGTAGGTCCTGGAGATTCAAACTCAGGACCTCGCACTTGCAGAACAAGGGCTCTTACACTGAGACATCTCCCAGCCCCACCCATTGTTTTGACCTGAGCTTTTCTGAAGGTGATCTTTGCTCAGGCCGGGCTCCCTTCAGAACCTGCTCTTCTCCCGGGGAGCCTTCCCTGTTGCTCTCATTACCTCAGGGCTCCTCAGTCCGTTCCAGGCACCCTAACGTCACTTCTTTCACACCAGTATTTGTGACTCTCACCCCTCCCTTTTTACCACCTCCCCCTCGGGGCACCCTGACCCCTCCCCCATCACCCTGACCCCTCCCTCATCCCCATGCGCCTTCCCTGTCCACCTGTCCCCTCCCCCCCACCACAGCCCCTTCCCCATCATCCTGACTGTCCTCCTGATCCCTGATCCCTGTGAGGAGCCTTTTCTAGACTCTGGGACTCTTCGCTCGTCTAATGGGGTAACAGACACCTAAGCTGGGGTTGCCTGGGGACCCGTGGAAACAGCACCTCCTCAGGGTATCCGTCTTTCCAGGTTTGGGCTATTGTTCCTTTTTTCTTGAGTATTTGTTATTTTCCTGAGACAGGGTCTCCTGCTGTAGCTGACTCTGCCTGGAACTCACTTGTAGACCAGGCTAGTCTGGAACTCATGGTAATTCTCCTGCTTCAGCCTCTCCAGTTCTGGGATGACAAGTGTAAATCACCACACTGGACTCCGTGTTCAATTCTCTAATTTATTTGCAGCCGCCTTTCATATAGATATAGCCAGGACATCTGTGGCTTCTAGAACAGACCTTGTTAGTGGAATGAATGAGACCCAGGTAGGCCCATGCAGGGATGGCGCCCTCAAGACCCAGGAAAGCCTTGAATCTCTCAGGCCATCACTGCCCTCCAGAGCTCTCTGGGAGGATGGAAATAGTCCACATGTCTTGTATGGATTCAAACACAGCCAGTGTGATGAATGGATGGAAAGTCAGATGGACAGAAAAAAATTATGGATACTTGGAATAATAGATAGAATGGTGGATGGAAGATAGATGGATGGAATGATGAATAGATGAAATACTGGATGGATGGTCTAACAGATGGATGCATGCAATGATGGATGGGTGGAATGATGGACACAAGATCAGACAGATGGGTAGGTGGAAATGATGAATGCACAAAACAATGGATAGATGGTGGGACAGACAGAAATTTTTCTTTAATGAGATAAATGGGGCTGGAAAGATGGTTCAGTGGTTAAGAGGCTTTGTTGTGTCATCGTGAGGGTGGGAGTTTGGATCCCAGGCTCACATAGCCCAGCACCCCCCAAATCTGAAACTCTAACTCCGGTGCCCCATCTGGCCTCTGTGAGCAGAGAGGCATGTGTGAGCACCTGCACGCACACGCACGCACACGCACGCACACGCACGCAGACACACACACACACACACACACACACACACACACACACGCGCGCGCGCGCGCACAGACACACATCCTTGAGATACTGATGGATTGGAATTGAAGAGCAGCTCTCGGGCTGCAGGAGCTCATGGGGGTCTCTGAGGTGAGGGCGGTGACTGTGTGCCAGGCTGGCTTCATATCTCTGTGTTTCTGTGGGTCTGACATAGGCCACAGCTGCTGGGATCAGAACGGAGGTCCTCGTGTGTGTGTGTGTGTGTGTGTGTGTGTGTGTGTGTGTGTGTGTGTGTGTGTGTCAAAGTACTTTACAGCTCAGCAGTCTCCCCAGCCCTGATTTCTTTTGAAAGATTCTGCCAAGTCTGGAAAAGAGACCAGAAAGGCATGAACAAGGGACGAGGCAGCTGCTGCAGGCCAGAAGGGTGTCACCTGGGCACAGGCCATGACTGCAGGTGGCGCCTGGTTTCCTGGGACAGCTCATCTGCTTGCTTTTCTTTTCTTCTCCCGACTGCCACCCCAGAGAGCGTTCTCCCAGGAGCTGCTTTCTAGCTTCTCCACACCATGTTTCTGCCATGCAGGAACTCAGAGGAGAAAGTAAGCAACCCTCGGGGTGTGGCGAACTCTGACTGATCCTCCTCTGCTCTCTTCTCTCTCTTTCTCTCTCTAACTGCTGCACTGAAGTCGAGCTTTGATCCCCACCACCGCTCCCAGCCAAGTTACGACCGGCCTTCCTTCCTGCCTCCTGGACCTGGCCTTATGCTCCGGCAGAAGTCTATTGGTATGTCTCCAAGAATGGGATGTGGCCCGGGAGCACAAGAGAGGACTGTCTAGGTTTGGTAATGTGTTCCAGCACCACATTTGACCCTGGTTAGATGAGGTCCAGTTTGGATGAATCCCAGGTTTGCTTCTGCCCAGCTGTGTGACTTGGGGTGGGTAGCATCTAGAAACCGGGATCTTGTGTTCAGAGGGTGGAGCGTTGGTAGCAGGCAGGTAGTAAGTGGAGGCAGATACTTGTTGAAGGAGAAGCCAGCTGCTTCCTGCGCGGCTCTGTGTAAAATGATAGATAGCCTTTTCTTCTCAAGCCTGCTTTAAACTCACTCCAAGTCACCATTATCATGTGCGCAGACCTTTGAACAATTAGTAAACGGCGCCCCCTCGTGGCCGGATGATGAAACTCCATTTAATTGAGCCTTCTCCCCGGAGCCCCTGCTGGTGATTGCTGTTGCGCAGTGCACAGCTTGTATCTAGGGAGAGCTGGGCCAGTTTCCAATTCCTCCCTCGGTCTTGTGTGTCTCAACAGGGGCTGCGGAAGATGACAGACCCTACCTAGCACCCCCAGCCATGAAATTCAGCCGTAGTCTGTCTGTCCCCGGTTCAGAGGACATACCCCCACCACCCACCACATCCCCACCAGAACCTCCCTACAGCACACCTCCGGCCCCCTCCTCTTCTGGCCGCCTCACTCCCTCCCCTCGGGGAGGCCCCTTCAACCCCGGTTCTGGGGGTCCCCTCTCGGCCTCCTCCCCTTCATCTTTCGATGGGCCATCTCCTCCTGACACCCGTGGTGGGGGCAGAGAGAAGAGCCTGTATCACGGTGGAGCCCTACCCCCCGCCCATCATCATCCACCTCATCATCACCATCATCACGCCCCACCTCCACAGCCCCACCATCACCATGCACACCCTCCTCACCCACCGGAGATGGAGACAGGAGGTTCCCCCGACGATCCCCCACCTCGATTGGCCCTGGGACCCCAGCCTAGCCTTCGAGGCTGGCGGGGCGGAGGACCCAGCCCAACCTCAGGGGCCCCATCGCCTTCCCACCACAGTAGCAGCGGAGGCAGCAGCGGCCCCACTCAGGCTACCGCCCTGCGCTACTTCCAGCTGCCCCCGAGGGCGGCCAGTGCAGCTATGTACGTGCCTGCTCGCTCGGGCCGAGGTCGCAAGGGCCCACTGGTCAAGCAGACCAAAGTGGAAGGCGAGCCCCAGAAGGGCAGCCTCCCTCCTGCGTCCTCCCCAACATCCCCGGCGTTGCCGCGGCCTGAACCACCTCCGCCCGGGCCGTCGGAGAAAAATTCCATCCCCATCCCTACCATTATCATCAAAGCCCCATCCACCAGTAGCAGCGGCCGCAGCAGCCAGGGGAGCAGCACAGAGGCCGAGCCCCCCACCCAGCCCGACAGCGCGGGCGGTGGCGGATCCTCGCCCAGCCCTGCGCCTGCCACGTCCCCGGTGCCGCCGTCCCCGTCGCCCGTGCCCACCCCTGGGTCGCCCAGCGGCCCGGCCACCCTGGACTTCACCAGCCAGTTTGGAGCAGCCCTGGTGGGCGCGGCGCGGAGGGAGGGAGGCTGGCAGAACGAAGCCCGGCGGCGGTCCACGCTGTTCCTGTCCACCGATGCGGGAGATGAGGATGGAGGCGACAGCGGGCTGGGCCCGGGGGCGCCCCCAGGTCCCCGGCTGCGCCATTCCAAATCCATTGATGAAGGCATGTTCTCCGCCGAGCCGTACCTCCGGCTAGAGTCGGGGGGCAGCAGCGGGGGCTACGGGGCCTATGCAGCCGGCAGCCGAGCCTACGGGGGCAGCGGGAGCAGCAGCGCCTTCACTAGCTTCCTACCCCCGAGGCCCCTGGTGCATCCGCTGACTGGCAAGGCCTTGGATCCCGCCTCTCCGCTGGGGCTGGCCTTGGCCGCCCGGGAGCGGGCCTTGAAGGAATCCTCGGACGGTGGGGGCACCCCCCAGCCGCCTCCGAGACCCCCATCGCCACGCTACGACGCCCCGCCGCCCACCCTTCACCACCACTCACCCCACTCACCCCATTCGCCACATGCGCGTCACGAGCCAGTGTTGCGCCTCTGGGGGGACCCGGCGCGCCGGGAGCTGGGGTACCGGGCAGGCCTAGGGAGTCAGGAGAAGGCTCTTCCCGCCAGTCCACCTGCAGCTCGCCGCTCTCTACTGCACCGTCTACCCCCGACGGCTCCTGGGGTCGGGCCGCTCCTGCTGCAGCTGGGGCCGGAACCCCCAACTCCCCTTCCCGGGGTGAGCAAGGCCTGGCGCACTGCAGCCCCCGAGGAGCCCGAGCGGCTGCCTCTGCACGTGCGGTTCCTTGAGAATTGCCAGGCCCGGCCTCCCGCAGCGGGAGCGAGAGGGTCTTCCACTGAAGATGGGCCTGGGGTTCCACCGCCCAGCCCTCGCAGGGTCTTGCCAGCCTCTCCAACCTCCCCGCGGGTCAGTGAGGAGAACGGCCTTCCGCTGCTGGTCCTGCCGCCGCCAGCCCCTTCGGTGGATGTGGACGACGGCGAGTTTCTTTTTGCGGAGCCGCTGCCTCCACCCCTGGAGTTTTCCAATAGCTTCGAAAAGCCAGAGTCGCCTCTCACGCCCGGGCCTCCCCACCCGCTGCCAGACCCTCCCTCCCCGGCTACCCCTCTACCTGCAGCCCCACCCCCGGCTGTGGCCGCAGCCCCTCCCACCCTGGATTCCACCGCATCTAGCCTGACCTCTTACGACAGCGAAGTGGCCACGCTGACCCAGGGGGCTCCTACGGCTCCTGGGGATACTCCTGCTCCAGGCCCGCCGGCCCCAGCAGCCCCAGCTCCCCCAGCCCCGCAGCCAGGCCCCGATCCTCCACCTGGCACGGATTCTGGAATCGAGGAGGTGGACAGTCGGAGCAGCAGCGATCACCCGCTGGAGACCATCAGCAGCGCGTCCACACTCAGCAGTTTGTCGGCCGAAGGAGGAGGCAACACAGGGGGCGTGGCTGGGGGCGGGGCCGGGGTGGCCAGTGGGACGGAGCTCCTGGACACCTACGTTGCCTACCTGGATGGCCAGGCCTTCGGGGGCAGTGGGACTCCCGGCCCGCCATACCCCCCACAGCTCATGACTCCCTCCAAGCTCCGGGGCCGGGCGCTTGGGGCTGGTGGAAATTTGAGACCTGGTCCCAGTGGGGGACTCCGAGATCCTGTCACCCCCACCAGCCCTACTGTCTCTGTGACCGGAGCTGGAACAGATGGGCTACTGGCCTTGAGTGCTTGCTCCGGACCCTCAACGGCAGGTGTGGCAGGGGGTCCCGTGGCGGTTGAGCCAGAAGTCCCGCCAGTACCTTTGCCCACTGCCTCGTCCTTGCCTCGGAAGCTGCTACCGTGGGAGGAGGGTCCGGGACCCCCACCGCCACCCCTGCCAGGGCCCCTGTCCCAGCCTCAGGCCTCTGCCTTGGCCACGGTCAAAGCCAGCATCATCAGCGAACTCAGCTCCAAGCTCCAGCAGTTTGGTGGGTCCTCTGCCGCGGGAGGAGCTCTGCCCTGGGCTCGGGGAGGCAGCGGGGGCAGCACAGACAGCCACCACGGAGGAGCCAGTTACATCCCAGAGAGGACCTCCTCCCTGCAGCGCCAGAGGTGAGCAGAGGCCTGTGGCTGGCGGGTGGCGGGTGGCTGTGGCAGGTGCTGGAGCCCAAGGTCCCCAAAGAGCCTCGGAGTTACAGAAAACACACTGGGATGTCTTGCAGGAATCGGACCTCTAAGAAGCACACTTTCAGCTCCATGGTCACCATAACCCATGGCCCAAGATGAATGGCTGCATGTTTTTATTTTGTTTTTGATGGTCCTGGGGATCAAACCTAGGGCTTCAGGCATGCTAAACAAGTGCTCAACTACTGAGCCACAGCCACAGCCCCTCACTGGGGGAGTCTAGTCAGGGGCTCACACCCCAGCCTCTTACTGGGGGGCTGTAGGCAGGGGCCCAACCACTGAGCAACACCCCCAACCTTCGTATTATGTTTTGAGTCAGGACCTAACTAAGTTGCTTTGTCTGGCCTTGAACTCTGTTTAGAGTTCAAGAACCAAGTTTAGACTTGTAATCCTCCTGCCTCAACCTCCCCAGTAACTGGAATGACAGACCTACACCACCAAACCTAAGATACAAAATACTAACAACAACAAAAATGCATTAACTGAAAGTGTCTGTGTGGCTCTTCATGGCACCAGGTGGATGACACCTCCCCGTAGAAGGAGGGGGCACAGTGCCTACTTGAAAGGGACTGGGACAGAATTTAACTTGAGCCATTGCTGTCAACATGTGGAGGAGGGCTGGGCATCTTTGAAGGACCTAGCACCCACTAGATGGGAAGATAGGGGCCCGTGCTGGCGTTCCCCAAATACTCCTTAGTTGTGGTCTCTTTGAAGCTGTGACCCACGCATGCAATTGCTAGTCACGGGGAATGATATCCCATCTCTTACTCAGGTGCAGCGAGAGGAGTTTGAAACTCTATAGTGCACTGTAATTCTGTTCCCCACTTAACATTCCAGTGTGGATTTAGCAGACTTTGGAGATACAACAATTCACTCATTATTCTTCATGGGTGGATGGAGGATGATGCATTAGTCATCATATGCATGGATTAGATGTTTAGCCCAGTAGTGTGCCCTCCTAGACAGGTCCAGAGTCCATCTTGCTCCTAGTTTATTAAGGCTCAGATGCCACACCCCCAGCCCCTCACTGGGGGATTCTAGGCAGGGGCTCTACCACCCACTGAGCCACACCCCCAGCCCCTCACTGGGGGATTCTAGGCAGGGAAGGGCTCTACCACTGAGCCACACCCCCAGCCCCTCACTGGGGGATTCTAGGCAGGGAAGGGCTCTACCACTGAGCAACACCTCCAGCTAGACAGTAGGCATAATAATTACAGCTACCCTCCCAAAACAACCCAGGAATTAGTTGGTTACAGTTCTCTCAGAAAAGGTCACCAGACTATGTGCGGGAAGAGTGATCTCCCCAGCGGGAATAGGCAGTTCAGGGCCTGCGGTGTGGCCGGCCGTGCTGAAGGGAGCTCAAGGGATGAGGGGAACCTTTTCCTCCCCTTGTTTCTTCTCTCTTTCATCTCCCTCTCTTCACCTCTCTCTCTCTGTTCTCTGTCCCCATCCCCTTCCATCTCTCTCCCCCTGAATACCCACCCTCTTTTTCGTTTGTTTGTTTTGTTTTGTTTCTGTCTCCCTGTCTTCCACTCTGCTATGACTGACCATAACCAAAAAAGGCAGTATAGAGTAGTGGTTAAGAGCTCAGACTTTGGTGACTTCTAACTGGGCTCTGCCACTCCCTGGCTGTGTGTCCTTAGGCAAGTTTCTTAAGCTCTCTGTGCTCTTGATGAAAATAGTAACCGTCCACCAGGGCTGTTGTGGGGATGAAATTGAGATGTGATTCAGAAAGCCTCTAGAACAATGCCTGACACACACGAGCTGCAGCAAGTGGTGGCGGGTGTTATTGCTATCACTTAATGCTTCTTTTTCTTCCACCTCTCTTGGCTATCACCCTCCCCTGTCCTATTTCTTGCCCTGGACTTCTCTCCTGACACTCATCTGACCCCTCCTCACCACCACCCTATCTTCTCCATTTCTGCCCCTACCCTTGTGTCTCTCCCTCTGAATCATGACTTCTGCCTCTTTTTCACCCTGGCCCTCAACACTCCCCCCAAACCCTTCTCCCCCACCCGTGGCCCCCTACCCCCACCCCTTGTCACATTCCAGGCTCTCCGAAGACTCCCAGACCTCTCTCCTCTCCAAACCCAGCAGCAGCATCTTTCAGAACTGGCCTAAACCCCCTCTGCCTCCACTCCCCACCGGATCTGGGGTCTCCTCTTCGACGGCTGCAGCCCCGGGAGCTATCTCCCCTTCAGCCTCATCCGCCTCGGCTTCCAGCCGACACCTGCAGGGCGTGGAATTTGAGATGCGGCCTCCGTTGCTCCGCCGGGCACCCAGCCCCTCGCTGCTGCCTGCCTCGGATCACAAGGTCAGCCCAGCGCCCAGGCCCTCTTCTTTGCCCATCCTGCCTTCAGGACCCCTCTACCCGGGCCTCTTCGACATCCGTAGCTCCCCGACCGGAGGGGCAGGAGGCTCGGCTGACCCCTTTGCTCCAGTCTTTGTGCCGCCACACCCCGGGATATCTGGGGGTCTCGGAGGAGCCTTGTCGGGGGCCTCTCGCTCCCTATCACCCACCCGCCTGCTCTCGCTACCCCCCGACAAGCCGTTCGGCGCCAAGCCTCTGGGGTTCTGGACCAAGTTTGACGTCGCCGATTGGCTGGAGTGGCTGGGCTTATCAGAGCACCGAGCCCAGTTCCTGGACCATGAGATTGATGGCTCCCACCTGCCCGCCTTGACCAAGGAGGACTATGTGGACCTGGGCGTGACCAGGGTGGGCCACCGTATGAACATTGACCGGGCTCTCAAATTTTTCCTGGAGAGGTGATGGCTGGCCTGGACGGACCAACCCGTCCATAGGACCCTTGAGCCCGCTGACCTCTTGACCTCTGACCCCTCTGACCATCATTCTCTCCCCACCCCCTCAGGGGGCCAGGGATTCTGCTGAAACTGTGCCCTGCCCCGTCTCCCCAGGCCTGACTGAAGTCCCCAAGTGGACCGGATACAGGCCAGACACTGGCACCTCACAAGAGGTGGGCAGCTGATACTAGACTGCGTGCGAGTGGAATAGAGGGTAGGGGGAGATTAGAAAATGACACAGGGGTACTGAGAAGGAGGGAAAGGTTGACTGGGAGGGGGAACAGACAGAGCCATAGAGGGTCAGCCCAGAGCCTGTCCGGATGGGGGGAGCTGCCCCCCAGACCGCAGGGGAAGGTGTGCCCTCCGATTCCATCACCTGCGCCCCTCTAATAACCCTTTCCACCTCTCCAGGCCCCTCAGCCTCCCCCTCTCTCTGGCACTCCCAGCTGCCCCGCCCCTGCCTCTTGCACGCCGCTGGCTTCCCTCCCAGGCTGCCTTCCCTCCCAGGCTGCAGTTTTGCACAAGCTTGCCCCTGGCTGTCCTGCACACCGCTGGCCCGCAAGGCCCCCCAGCTCCCTAACACGCTGCTGCGTTCTTTTTTGCTCAAGCGCCACGGCCTTTGCTAGCTTGCTCTCTTTCTTCTTGGGATGGAGGGTGGGGGGTTGCACCCTTTATTTCTCTGATCACCCTGGACCCATGCTGCAGACACACATGGGACTTTCCTTCCTCTCCTCCTCACAGACCCAGGCATACTCCTGTAGCCCCTGGTCACCCCTTTTTTCTGCTCTGTCCTTGCACACTCTGAACACATTTACCTCCATTTCATCCTTGGGGACACTTTCCTGTCCTGGCGCCCCCAGCTCATGATGGCACTCCTGTCCCTGCCTTCTCCATTTTCTCTGTGACACATTTTCTCGCACATCCCTGGCACATTCACAGTCCAGGTCTCTCTCTCTCTCTCTTCTCTCTCTCTCTCTCTCTCTCTCTCTCTCTCTCTCTCTCTCTCTCTCCTCTCTCTCTGGTTATTTGAGACAGGGTTTCTCTGTGTAGCCCTGGCTATCTCTGGAACTCAATCTGTAGACCAGGCTGGCCTCAAATTCAGAGATCCACCTGCCTCTGCCTCCTGAGTGTTGGGATTAAAGGCGTGCGCCACCACCCCCTGCCTACTTCTGTTCACTTTTATCCTTTCTTTTCTGTGCCCTCTTGCACACTTCCTCTTGTGCACTTACCCTCCCCAGCCCCTTTGCATCTCCCCAGGAACTTTTTTTTTTTTTTAAATGGTGCTCAGGTGCGGAATGTGCTTGCTGCGCTGTTCTGGTCTTTCTAGGTAACTTTGCCCAGTTGCCCTGCAGAGCCTGGCCTCTTTTCAGTTTGCAGACTCGCCTCTCTCTTTCGCACTCTTAGCCAGTCCTCTCCTCCTCTTTTCCTGCACCTACCCTAGGTCTTTGCTCACCTCCTGCTGTTCCTAGAGAGAGGAGACCCTGCGCGTGCACGCTGGCTCCCTGCTCACTAGGCTGTCACTCAGACCATCCATCCGTCTGTCTGTCCATTTTGCACGAGGATCCCCTCTTCCCCCAACCCTTTTTTCTCTCCCAGATTACTCTCCTCCCACCTTCTAGCATGGCTCCTCCCTCCCCGCACGTTCCCCCTTCCCTGCTTCTGGGGCTTAGGAATTCAAAGCCACCTCTCCTCCCCTAGGTAGCCCCCTCCCCTGCTGTGAGTAAAGGGGGAAAGGGCGTCGCCCTCAGGTTCCCCACCGTGTTCAGCTGCCAAAGAAGGGAGCTCCCCTCCCCCCAGCCCATTCCCTAAAGCTGCCCCCAGGCCCGCCAGGGGCGCTCCGTCCACGAGGGGAGGGCCAGCGCCCTCCCCTCACCATGTCAGGGAAACGCAGGGAACCTTGTGGGAGGGTCGCGGGAGGGGGGAGGGGTGGCAAGGACTGGAGTGGAGGTGGCGCTGGGCCCCTACCCGCCCCCTCCCCCTAGTCGGATGCCCCCCGTCCGCAGGGGGCCTACGCGGCGCCTGTCTATCAAGGGCTTGTTAATTCCGGATGGGTGCCGCGGGGTTGGGGAGGGAGTAGGGGGTGGGGTCGGGGGTGGAAGGAGTGGGAGAGGGAAGCGGGAGGGCCTGAATGGGGGAGCGGGGTGGAGAGGAGAGACGAAGCAAAAAGAAACAATAGCAAAAGAAAAAAAAACTATACAAATCAAAATAAAAATAAAAAAACCCTAGAACACACACAAATCCTAACGGGGAAAAAAAAAAAAAAAACTCCTGAAATAAAAGCCCTAGAACTGTCTTCCAAGGGGGCGGGAGGGGACGAGAAAGGAGTTGGGCTCCTCTTGCAGGATCGCAGGGATGGGGTGTGACCTGGAGGCAGACGACAGTGGAGGTCCGCCCCGCCCCCCACGTCCAACAGGACTTTGCTGAGAGAAATGGCTTTTGTATCAGGTCATTCTTTATAATTAAACTCACAGTATCCACCCCCTCGAGCCGGCCCCGCCTCCTTCCTAGGGAGGCCACACCCCTTGGATTCGCCGGGTCTGGGGGCGGGGCGCAGCTGGGACCCGCCCCCGCCACGCGTCAATCTTCCTCGGACGGCTCCGCCCCCAGGGCCTCGAGCATTCGCCGTCGGACCAGGGATCGGCGCAGGTGAAGGCGGTAGTCGCCCAGCAGCAGATCGTCGTGGCGCACGAGTGGGTGCGCGGTTCCGCGGAGGCTGAGTCCCGAGCGCAGCAGGCGCGAGCGCGTCTGGAAGTCTGTGACCGTGATGAGCCACCTGCGGGCGAGGCGAACACCGAGGGACGTCGCTAGGAGTTCGCCCTGTCCACCTTCGCTCGCGGACGCCGCTGCGGTCTCTGCTGCTCGGTATCTCTTTTACCTCACCAAGGATGCGCCAGACCCGGCCTCGCTGCTGTCCTTATCGGACTCAGCCAGAGATGCCACTCAGGCCAGGACCCGCCCCTCTGCGTGGCTCTGGGCCTCATACTTCACTGACCCCCTCACCTTGACTTCACCTTTTCTAGGCTTCAGTCTTTCCGTTGCTCTCAGCTCCACCCCTCACTCTCCTCCTAACCCTACCCACCAGCCTCCTACTCTAGGCCCCGCCCCTCACTGTGTTCACTGTCCCTCCCCCTCTTGTTGCGGCTAGGCTCCGCCCCTCACTTCCCCACCTCACTCGCGCGGACTCCGCCTCCCAGTTCCATTCGCTAAGACCCGCTCCCTGGCTACACCCCTCCCAATTCTATCCGTCACCAGCTCACTCTAGAGCAGGCCCATGCATGGACTCACCTGTCCCTGCGGCCCGCGGTCCCGCAGATGACATTCATGTTCTCATACCGGATGCTGCTCAAGCGCCCACTCTCCAGGGCCCCGGGCAGCTCGGCCTCCAGAGCCTCCAGCACCTCTAGGTGCGTGAAATCCTCCTGCGTGTGGGTGCACACAGCTTCAGCTCGTATCTCCCCGGCTGGAGCCCGGCCCAGACTCCCCCTGCAGAACACTAGGTTCTGTCACTCTGGTCAAAGGGGAGACCACAGGTGTCTCTTGGGTGAGAAGGCATCTGCCACTCAAGGTCATTCTCAAAAACCAGAATGATTATAATTTCACCACCCTACAGGGAAATTCTCCCAGAAACCAGCCATGGTTTAAGATGATGCCTTAACGTTCTGGAAGATTCTTGCCAGAATTTGGACCTATGATCTCATGTTAAGGCGGTGCAGTTATCAGAAGGATCGGAGGAGGTTGATTCAGGAGATGTGTTGATCACAGTGCCAAAGGGGAGAAACAGTGGTCCAAGCATATGAAACCCATGAGGATGGGCTGGCGGTACAGTTCAGTGGTAAAGGCTTGAGTTCAATCCCCATAACCCACATAAAGGTGGGGAGAGAGAACTGAGCTGTCCTCTGACCTCCACCTGCCAGACGGGTGTGTCTGCAGGAAAGGCCGAATGGCCGCCGCCTCCGCCTCCTCCTACCCATGTACTAACCAGGCCTGCTTAGCTTCTGAGCTCAAAAGAGATCTGCTGTGCCCAGGGTGGTATGGTGGTACACGGGGGTGCCTCCCTCAAAGGCACAAAGGAAAGGAGAAATGGGGTGGGGACCTGTCCCCAAGAAGTGAGGACAGCAACCCCCATAACAGAGTAAAGTCACACAGACACCCAAAGAGGTGCCGAGGACACAGTAGGTGCCTCTTACTGTGAGACACAAACAGATATGGGTGTGTGTGCGCGTGTGAGCATGTGTGCACATTTGCTCTGTTTGGACAGAGCTCAGGTAGCCCAGGCTAGCCTTGAACTCACTATGTAACTGAGGCTGACCTCGAACTCCTGCTCCTCCCAGCTTTGGCTCTAGAGTGCTGGGATACTAGACCATGCCTGGCCCTGAACTTTGACACTGGCCACCTCAGTTCTGACCAGCTGATCCTCTCACTACCCAAACCAAGCTGTGCAAAGAGCTGATGGCCTCTCACCGAAGTCTCCATGCAGAGGCAGAGGGGCTGGGCAGAGGGCGGTGCTGAAAACTTTCGGATGCATGGGAGCTCCCGATCCAGTGCCTCGTATTCTGAGATGACCTGCCGAAGGTACTGCTTTCTGGGGGAGGGGGAGCAAGGCAAGGCAAGGGACCTCTGAGGTCAGGGGCTGCTGGTGTCACCTCTGCAAGAGCTCAAGTCAGAGGTCATGGAGCTAGGGGGGTACTCACGAGGATTTGATGGGTCTGCCCAGGCTCCGAGCCATGGGCTCCTCTATAGCCTCCAGATCCACAAGGACGGAGCCTAGGGACAAGAGAACCCAGTGTCACCGGCCAAGGGCCCTTGGCAGCCAAGACTCTCTTTAGAAGAGAATCACCCAGCAGTGTGCACACCGCCTCCAAAAGCTAGATCTCAGAGGCTGGTCCCTAAGATACCATCTGGAAGCTACAAAATCCACCCTTCCACTCTGGCTCTGAGATTCCAGATTCCTCATTAAGCTCAGCCTGAAGAAGCCAGCAAGAGGAAATACCACTCTGCCCAGAATTAATACCAAAATCCAGCCTGCTGGTTGGAATTTGACTGACAAGTTCCTCACATGTGACTCCTTCTTGTCAACCTTATCATTAGCTAATGGGCCTCTCTTTCCCCCTGGCTAGTGATTGACACACATGACCTATTTTCCCTCTTTACTTCAACCCTAGGGGTTGTACAGGCATAAGGGTGTCTAGCCTCCCTGACCGGCTCCTTTGTGGCCTGGCAACCAAGTTCTCACCAACGGTGTGAGCAGGAGTGAGCCATCTACATAAGGGATTGTCTACCAGGTGTGGCAGCACGAACACCTGTCACCGCAGCACTAGGAAGACTGTGGCAGAGGTCTGTCATAAGCTAAAGGCAGTTCAGTCCACACAGTGACTGTGGGGGCAACCTGGGCTTCACAGGAAAAGTGTGGGGAGGAGGGACGGATGGAGGGAGAAGATGAGGAGAAGGAAGAAGAGAGATGGAGGCAGAGAGGGAAGGAAGGAGGGAGGGAGGGGGAGGGAGGGAGGGAGGGAGGAAGGAAGGAAGGAAGGAAGGAAGGAAGGAAGGAAGGAAGGAAGGAAGGAAGGAAGGAAGGAAGGAAACTGTCTGATGTTTGGCTCCTTCCTTCATATGGGCTGGAATGTGAATGGAGTTTCAACCATGTTGGGATATGCTGAGCGAAAATACAGAAGCATGCTGGGCCTATGAGCTGTCTTGCAGAGTTCAAGAATCCCACAACACACTGAGACAAATTTAGGTCTGCCTCCTTTATGTTATTGTGTTTCAAGGCAGAAGAGAGAAGAGTTGCCCCTGACAAGGCTGTAGGATGCTCTTCCTGGAAGAAACAATTACCCTAGGAGCAACTCCAGACAGG